GAAGGGAGCAGAGCTTTTTAGCATTTCAAATGAAAAGCTCTTTGAAGCCCGTCAATGTGACTCTTGTTAACTGCGACCAGAAAAAGAATGCCCTTGATAACGCCGAGTCATAACGGCGAAGTCCACAGTGAGGCATCGCGTCCCATCTGAATATGTCAACGACCGACCGGGGCAGCCGAATGGGATTCTCGTTAACTGCGACTTGAAAAGAACACGCATGATGAGACGGAGCCCCCTTTTCACGTCTGGGAAGGCGCTCGAACGAACCATCCCGCCGTTTCATTCAGAACCGCGCCAGCATTTCACAACGAAAGAGAAAGCCGCATCCGTCGTCACGGCGACAGTAAACACAGTCGGCAAAATATCAGTCGGCCGTTCCACTTCTTCCGGGTGCTTGGCCATCCCGGGGCGGCTTCACATGAAGACCGATCGGAATCAAACGCACGCGACTGCCAATCACCGCAAATGCAGAAAGACGTTCAAACAAGGCCGCGAGCCGCCACGGTGGTCACAAGCATGCAATGGTTGACCTTGATCATCAGGTCGGGTCACTTATCCGGATGATGAAGCGGACGGCCTGCGTCACGTTGATGCTTTCCGTTTCTGCATACGGCGGTCGGGAGGATTTCATGAGGCAGCTCGTTATCGCTTTACGCTTCATCTTTGCATTATTTGACGAGGCGTGCGCCAGCACGTTATCTCTGTGCGCGTCACGCATTTGATGTTGCGGGGTCGCGTCGAATCAGGCCACCCCCGGGAGTCAGGGGTCACGCTCGGAGCAGCGATGGCCACTTCATTAAGTACGCCACCCGAGGAGCTCAAATATTTGTTCAGTCAATCCTGGTTATTTATTTTTTTTGCCAGAAATAGACACGCCCCCTGATGTGTTTCGAATAATTGCCTGCATTTGGAGCTTCAACCCAAACTATGATTCCCAAGACACTTTAATCATTTCAAATTCCTTTTACAGTGTTCATGTTCAAAATAAATGGCTTACAAAATATTTTTGTTTGAAAAATTCGACACTGCAAAATGGGAGAAATGGAAGGAAAAATGCTGCTTTGAAAAAAAAAAAAAAGCTGTATGTTACATTATATTATTCGACCCAGTTTATGTCTGTCACAGTCTCCCTAAAATGGACCAGCGGGGCAATATTGATTCACATGCCGTAGGGAGAAAAAAAAAAAACAAACCAAAAAAAAACGCATACTCTGTAAAACCTCTCAAAAGGCGCATTGAAAAAATCGGAGCAAAAATGGCACGCAACTTCCTTCAAGCCGCCACACTTGAGGCCAACTTGGCTCCGTCAGGAGAGGATTTAATATCGATGGTGTCCAATTTGCATTTAAAAGGAGAGTTGAAACTTGATGCCAGAGGACAAATTCCATCTTTTTCCAATTCCGTCAAATGGCCACTGGGGGGGGGGGACTTGGCAATTTCGGATCGCCCTTTTTTTTCTAGTCTAGCCGCTTCACTCCAGCGAATTTGTAGTTTAGTCAAAGTTTGAGCCCTGCAATTTGGCTACAATGGCTGCATCACACCAAAATGGCAGCTTTGAATTTGAGACGTGGGTCCTTGAGAGTTATTTGTGCCGCCCGTCAGGACAAATTTTGTGTCAACTTAACATTTGTGGCGAGTGCAATTTTTTCTCGACTTTCTCGCGGGCGCTACTGAATGACTTTTGAAAGATTGCCAAAATCCAAGCATTTTTACCAGCACACACGGACGGACGGGGCTTGCAAAAAAAAATAAAATAAAATCAGTAGGGTCAGCTTTCGGGCATGTTGCGGTGGCGCTCGATTGGCAAAATAAGAAACACGTCGATTCCAAGTGGGCCTTCATTCACATCCGGTCCAAAATATAAAACACGCACACACCAAAAAAACAACAAAAAAACAAAAAAAAAGCCTTTGACTTGGTGGTGGCCCAGCAGAATTTTTCCAAAATGCAAACTTATGAAAATGCGTTTCTTGTTGGCCCGAGGCATATTCATAAATAAGATAACAAGAACAAGACAATTAAAAGAAGAACATTAACATGATGCATATTCAAACGTGACAGAGGCTTACCGAACAGAAAACAAAGCGACATTACAACTTCAAGAACAACAACAAAAAAAAACCAAAAGAAAACACTAATCGTGTTTGTCAGCTCCAACACAGAGCTGACATGTTGGCTGGTCGGTCTTTGAATGTATTACACTCATTTGCATATGTTGGCCTGCACTGGATTGTTTTTAGTGCGCTTCAAAAAAAAACAAAAAAAAAACAAAACGAGTGGGCCAAGACTAGGAGGCATAAACAATGTTGGGCGGATTATATGCACACCTGTTTATTACAAGACGTGAGAATAAGTGCTTCAGAGAACAAGCGGGCGGACATTTAGTTGTCGAGGCAGTTTCATGTCCGGTTCAACCCGTCAGTCATCCGAGATGACAAACTAACGCGGTGGCGAAAGTGACCTCTGGGCATCATCCCGAAAAGAGATGATGAATCTCTGTTATTTCTGCTCTTTTTTTTTTTTTGCGCCGGCTCCTCACATTTGCTGCTCCATTGGCACCACTTTGCATTTATTGGAGCTTTTACATCAAGATGGATGAAGAAAGTCTCAAGACGTTTGTCTCTTTTACTGCAGCGCGCCTTGAATCAAGGCTTCTATTTCCATCTTTTCCAAAGCACTTTGCAGCAAATCATCTCCCCCCAAAAAAATTTCAGACCTTTTTGTACTTTTTTTCCACAGCTGCGATATTCACAGCGCTGTTTTTTTTTTTTTTAACAGCCACACAAAGTGGTTCCAGAGTGAAAAAAATTCTTCAATCAATAATGCTAATTAATGTTGGCCATAAAAATAATCATTCCAGTCCTATTCCAAGGCTTTAAAGGGCCTCGAAAGTGAAGTGAGAGGTTCTTTCTGCTCACCGAGTCCAAAGTATAAAGGCCGTATCCCACTGAGGGGCAAACGTTTGCGAGTGTGGCCGAGCGTAGTGCATGTTGAGTTCTCATTCGAGATCGGTCAAGGTATACAGTATTCGTGTTTTGTTTTTTTTTCCTTCCTTGACACGAGGAAATTTTGAACACGTTCGGATGTACAGTAAAATGAGAACGCGACTAACATGACCTTCGGTTGTTACGCGTGATGCTGTCAAGCTAAGCTAACAAGGCTAGCTCTGTGCTCCTGGTTATGTTTACGTCCAGTTGGTTGGGTACAGTTCGTAACAACCAAAAAGCCAAGCAACATAAGCTGTTAAAAAAAAAAGCTAACCTTGTGAGGCCTACTTGATATTTTTGCTAAGCTAACCAGGCTAGCTACATGTTCTGGTTATGTTCAGAGAGAGCGCTTGTGCTTTTTTTTTTTTTTTTTAATGATGGCTCTGACATCCCACTTGGAATATTCTCTATAAAATTCTCCTATGAGCCCATAAAAAAAAAAAAAAAAGAACAAAAAGATTTGCGTGTCGTTCACATCGCAGCGGCTCCCCAGATCCTCGACAAGAAGTCCTGGGCGCAGAATGACGCCGTTTAGAGGAATTTATGAACGCCAGCGGCACGCTCTTCCTGACAGACGTTTATTTAGTGGCGGCCGTTTCCTCACCAGCTGCGTCGCCGGCTGGAACCGGCGCTTCGCACACGGCGGCCTACAAGCCGATCCCGTGTGTCCTTCGGCGGTCCTTCTATATGGCACGTGAGCCTTCAGTGATCCTTGACCTTTTCATCCTACCACGATCACGGCACAATCCCAAAGAATCTTCAAGGCGATACGCCAACGCAGTTCAACAGGACTCAACTGTGCCACGTACATCGTCTGCAACCCTTTGCAATCAAAATGTATCGAAGACGGGGATAAAATGATCAAATATCAAATATTTAGACGAAATACACGACACTCAGCAGAGATGCTAATTATTAAACATAGACCGCTAGAGACGGGCTTTGCTCATACCAACCAATCAGGTGACTAACCCTCCCCTTCAGTTTGTGACATGCTAGGCGAAGGATTAACTCCCAATGAGCCCTCAATCTCAAATCTGACTGGTTAAAAAACACTCCCAGTGCTAAGACAGAGGTTCCTCGAGTTACAACAAAAATTTTGGCCGGCGATATAAACTCAAAAATGAATCAAGCATTAGCTCGCGACTTGGAAAACTTGGTATAGGTCAAGGTACCCCCCCAGAGATATATATATATATATATCACTTTTTTTTTTTTAATGTATTTGTGAGACTTGGCATCGGCAGGCTTAATCGTTTGGCTCGCCCAAGTTTTTGTTGCAAAACCAAACCTCTTATTTTGATTGGCCGCAACACGTGGAGTGTTTCGTCCCGGAGGGCCGGCGCTCCGGTCCTGTCGGGGCCAATCTGAAATCTCACTGATCAAAGAAACACCAACGTTGCTGTTCGGGTTGAAGTTCGAACCTTACTGGGCCAGCGCGGCCCAATGCGAAGGTTCTGGACAGATTAGATTGACACGGCAACACCTACGGGCTGAAATCCGATTGGACCAAAAAGAAAGAGGGCCAGAAGAAACTCGTTCCAAAAATACAATTGGATGGAACCAACGTTTTAAAAATGACTTGTCACGGGAGTTGAGTGCTTTGCTGTGAGCGTTGTTGCCAATGGACGTGTGTGCGCCCCCCCCCACTCCACCCTCTTCCAAGCCCCCAGGTGACGGCGGGCTATTTTCATCAGTCGCCCCACGGTGCCGCCACTTGACTGACAGGCCAGTTCGATGGTGGCAGACAGGCTTCGGGGCGCCTCTGGAGGACGTGCCAATCACGGGTGGCGACGGCGCCGACAATCCTTATTCCACACTCGCATGCGACACGCGACATGCGTGCTCAGGCAGCGA